GCGAACTGCGACTAGGGAGAACAGTAGAATCAGGCAGCATAGATCGCCATTGTGAAGAACCCATCAGAGGGAGTCGCACTTGGTTGATGGGGCAGGGGGGGACGTGGTGCAAGCGGCAGATCTACTATTTCTGATAGTTGACCGAAGATGTATACAAACTCCCGGGGGCAAAAGTTGGAAAAAGCAGCAGATAGGTTGCAGGGCTGTCGTATCAAAGAACGGGAAATTAGGGTGGATCGTACTGATACCACCGTTTCACCCATCCCCAAGATGTACCCTGGAATCGGGAAAACACGCGCTGAAGACCGGAGTCGATCGATTCCCATCTATTTCTGCGGTGCCGTTTCCCTAAGATGTCGAATTACAGAATGTTCCTATTCTTCCAAGTCGCCAAGTCGATTCCCACACAATGGGCGCGCATTCTCCGAAAATAGTGAATCGCCGATCGTCCTATTCTCCTATCCTCCCAAGTCGGAAATATGGAATAGGCTAACAAAGCGAGAATTCAGCTTACACCACATTTGGGAGCCGTTGTTATCGGACGAGGCCTTCCGATCGAATGGATACATTTCACAAAGTCAGCCTGTCCAATAGCATCCCATACCGAAGATGACACCCTAAACATTGGCAGTACACTTCCACTGCAGGCGTTTTTATAAGCCAGTTGATTTCAGAGCAATCCCTCCAAACAAGATAGGAGAAGATCGAAAAGATAAGAAGATTGGAAAGTTTACAAAATTGCCCAGTATGCTGACAGGAGCTTGAGAAACATCTCTACCCTATGCTGACTTCACTTCCATTTATCAGTGACCTACTTGCCTCGTTAGTATTCTCATGTTGAGCACCACATAAGGCGAATCGGTCAGCTGTACGGCGTTGATCGAATAGCGTCCACCGATTGGTCCCATTGAAAAAGGAATGACATACCTGTTGGAAATTTCAGTATGTACTCATCGAGTCAAATGTTTCTGCCAAAAATTATGCTGGTCTCCCAAACAACATGACCATGGGAGACCTCGAGCTAGCAGGGCCAAAACGAAAGTTCGTGTAACTCACATCACCCTTCCTTGCATGCACCCAGGAAAGCGTGAATACGCCTCAGTGTTAAACTGTGCCGGTGACATCCAACGAGCAAATGCATGCGAGGATTTCGGTTGCCTTCTACAAAAATATTATTCAATTTGATAACGGAGAACGTCGGCTGATTTACAACGTGTTTCCCCGGCAGCCAATCGCGCTTTCCCATTCCCAGCATGATACATTACTTATTCACCGACAATTGGGCGCAGCAAGTGGAAAAACGCCACTTTCCGGAAGCAAAGTTTATTCAGTCTGAGAGGGTGTGGTCCGCGACGAGTTTATCGACGATTTGTTGTAATTGGCCGTCGAATCCTTAAATTCGTGATTAACAGGATTGCCTATGCTTATGTTTTTGGCGGGTCTATACCACACGCAAATGGATGATAAAAAGGAGCGATGGGTGGAGCTAGAGAAAGTGGGGGTAGGGTCACGGGCGCTCTCGTCAAAATTGGTGCAACCGCTGACCCTGTGGAAGGTTACGTGCTCGCGGGACCAGAGGGATTTCGCAGCTAACCGCACTGCCTGCCTTGGGCTGAAATGTGCTGAAGGTTTTGTTGGGAGATGACAAGTACATCACCTGGTTTCTATTTCTTCTAACCTTATAGAGCTTATATAAACTGGTCTTTCTTGGGCATCCTGAGGATCAGTTCGAGCTACGAAAACGTTTTCACGTCCGATAAGCTTCTCCAGCACTCCTGAAACTTGATAATGGGCAGCGAGACCTTCAGTACCAGCTTCATCTATTCCTCCAGAAGTGGATGTAGGTAGTTCCACTGTGGGGTAACGCATACCAAGTAGCATTTAGTATCCCCTAGCCAGTTGAGGCAAAGTACTCCAGCACTTCTTCGATAAGTTAATTGGGTCCTAATCAGTGCACGCGGCCTCGTGACGTCGCTATAATGTGGACATCCCAGCCGGCAATCCTATGGTACAGGCCCCGCATCTGACTTTCGCTTGAAATCGTCAAATCAGCTGAAGTTTGGGCACGAGCACTAAGCTGCTCGATCAGCCGTTGTCGAAAACGGCATTTTCACTGCTTCTACCGACCTAAAGGACCTGATTAGATGGAGCTTGGCTTATCAGATCCCTGAAGCATGCACGTGGTCCTTCAGACAGTATGCCGCACCCACTTATGGAGTCTTGGATAAGACCCCGCTCAGACGAATCAAGTCTTCCTTTATTCACATCCAACTGGAAGTGCACTGGCTTCTACCTACTGGCCCCTTATCCTTCTATGCAGGGCTAATTTTCGTCACGTTTCTGAATGATACCAGTGCGTGGCGTTTTTTAGAAGAGTCAAGCAGTCTTGTTTGATGCTCTTCACTTATCCCCCCCCTCAAGATCCCAATTGGGTGATCCCACCAGTACTAGGTTGTTTGGTAAGACTAAGATCTGTTAATTTCCTTAGACATTACCCATTTGTTCCAGAGTCGCAGTGAGATATTCAGCTTCACTGAAGGAACCATTACAAATGTGTATTGCCGCTGGACGCATCAGTTTTGCGTGATATCCGAGAAACGCCTACAAAAAAATCCTTTACAAGCTTCCTCTGAGGCAGCGTTCAGACTTCGCGACGGCAGCGCTTCGGTCGCGCGTTCGACGCGATCGATGCGCATGCTTTCGACTGCATCGATCGCGTCGAACGCGCGACCGAAGCGTCGCGAAGTCTGAACGCTGCCTAAATTAGATTTTATTCTGCAAACGACAAAGGGCGTGCGGTGAGGCGTAGATACGGACAGCAAGCCAGAGCGGCTCTTTCCACAATCTACTGCGTACTTAGGATTGGCACCGGATGTTAGCCGCTCGGCTTCGTTCCAATCCATGGCCCCTCACACGCCCTCTCGGTTGCCGGGATAGTAGTATGTAGCTGTAGCTCGAATCACGTACTCGAACTCTTATAGGCAACCACTTTGGATCACCATTGATCACAGGCACAGATCCATATCCCTCGATAACGAAATCAGTCTTGTTCATGTATGGTGCTGCGCATAACGTCTTCATGTCATCGCCTCGTTCATGTGGGAAAGCTGAAAAACCCACTCCAGACGTGCAGACCTTCGAGGTAATATGGGACGATAAGCCCGTCATTAGTATTTGTCACTACGACCGAGATCTGCACTGACGAAAGCTCCAGCTCCAGCTCCTACGCCCAAAGCCTTCCACGAAACCGCCACGACCCTCCTACTCGTTCGGCCAGGCGCTAGACAACGAACAAGCCAGCAAAAGGCTGGTAAATATGGTTTCTCGCATCGATGGCCATTCCATTTTTCAGGCTAAGCTGTTAGTAGGTGAGTCGTTCCACCTATCATTAGCCCTCCCTCGGACACACTTCTAGGGTGGTCAAGAGTGGTGAAATCCAGTGAGAAGGCACAATAGTAGGCCCGACCCCGCCCATGTGGCCAGGCTGAGCGGTGTATTTGAAGTCGATCAATCTGACTCTTTATCCACAGGAGAACGCCCCAATCTGACCTGCGTATCAACTCAGGAATTTCCATCAATTCTATCCGAAAGCCTTTCTCCGTGAACAGGGCCTTCCTTTCTTTATTCAATCAGCAGCACATCACATACCCCGTCCGCTTCCGTTGGGCTAAATACGCGGCTAAGGAATGCCAGTGATAGGCTTAACGCTCCATCGGAAACTTATGAGCAAAAATTGTTGGGCATTCATCGGGGGAGCAACCCGCTTTGTTTCTCGCAATGGGGAACATGCTCATCAATAGCCACGGCGACACTTTCTTGCGGCGGTGGCACTCCACTGTATTATGCAACTTTGCAGCAAACTTTGACCACTCATGATTCTTATGGGAGGTTTCCGTGGCACCTTTAATCTCCACATTTACAGTCACTATTCCCGACCACGCTGATTCGACGCTAGGATTCAACTGAAAAGCGGACGTTGAGGAAGTAAAATGCACTCGCGTACAGTTTTCCACGACCTCTCCCTCTGATCGAGCTCTTATACGATCCCTGCGCGATCCTCCCCGCCGCCCCCCATGAGGCAAAACTGTGAAGACTGCGTGTTTTAGAGTGAGCGCTTTTATCTCAGGCTTCTATAACTACAAAGGCTTCACGCTTTATTGAGAATTGTCAAATCTCCCAGTGGGCCAGTCTGTCCTCTAAGATGGTCACTATGGAATATCGTGTGGTGCACATGCTCGCTCAAATGATTACCAGTAATAATAGGAGGTTCGCGACTCTGAAAGTAAGATGAGCAAGAAAAATCCTTGAGGTCACGCGAGTTTTTAAGGAAATTCCAGTGGCTACAACTTCATTTCATAACTGAAACCAAAAAGCGGTGCTGGAGAACAGGGTCACGCCATCGTTGTGAATACAGCAGATGCGGGCGGAGTCGTATTGACCGCGAAGGAGGGGGGGGGGGAGGGTCGTATTTTGTCCGAGAAAATTTTTTTTGATAGTCGATTTCTCTTCTTTCACGGACGCTATAAAAGGGGGGTCGATTATGATCGCTCTTGGCAGAGGGGTGGTCGTATCTGAGAATGGAATTAGAGGGTGTCGTCTTTTCTCAGGAATTGATCACAGCATCTAACGCGAAGGCGTGCCCTGAATGAAATCTACGGACACTCCTTTGCTAGACATATCTGGACCAAAAATGCGTTGTTATAGATTCTTGCTCATAAGCAGGGAACTTTAACCTCGCACGGTAGTCATCTCTTCAAAGAGGACGCAGTTCGGAAACGGGGTGGAGGCATTTTGAGCCTTTTCATTGCTTCACTAGCGGTTTACAAGTCTCACTCTTCCTGTGAACTCTTGTGAAGCTGGAGCAAACTGTCAGCCATCATGGCAATAGCTGCAAACATGACGCCATCGAGAAGGTTTTTGTTCGGATGGGTCTTTCCACAGTTTTGTGAAGTACAAATGCAAAATGCCCCCGTCCCGAACTGCGCCTCAAAGAAACATAGCTACGGATAGCTGTATTGAGGGGCCCGCATAATGTAAACACCCTAGCAATTTCTCATCGGGTACACCGGAATTCCGTGAGACAGTACTTTTAAGTAGCCGCGATGTAAATAAGATGACGCAAGGACCACAATTGGAGTCCGTTATCATCGCGTCTTTGGTCACTTCTAAGCCGACTAGGAATTCGCTCTCTTGGCATCGCTAGATTGGCAGGGTTTGGCGCGGTGTCAGCTTCGTTTTTCACCAATTGTTGTCGTTTGCACGCTTCAACCATTGGCGGAGAACGGCCCAGTAGCACGCCAATTCACCACTCACACACGCTTCAGCGTCTGTAGCGAGAACAACTGCACACTCCCCAGGCGCAATTCGCGACGGGGGGGGGGGGGGGGGGCATTTGGTAACTTCCACTAATTCACTAGTGCCTATTTACAAGTCAGATCATCACTTGGTGAAACCTGTGAACTTGTGGAGCTGGCTCGTCAAACCATCACGGTGAAATATACTAATCGAGAAGAGGCTGGGTCGACGTCGATAGGAAGTTTTCAGAAAGTGAAAAAGCCTCCGTCGCCGCGGTAGTACATCTTGAAACAAGCCGCAGATGTGTTTTCGTGTAATATTCCCTTTGAGAACACTAGCATCCTCAGTGCCGAATGAAGGCATGGTCACATTTGTCCCAATACCACAACAACCCTCCAAAAGAGCAGAAACTATTCCGTCTAAAGAAACCTTTTGGCTACGCCCCTCCCCCAACCCCTCCCCTCCCCCCTAGAGATATGGACTGTGAATAGGAAATGAAGACTGCGTTCAGACTTTGCGATGATGCGGGTCGCCATCGCAAAGCGCTCCAGTGCTAGACAGGATCGCAGAATAGGCGTAATTGATCGGAAAGGGTTCTCTGCTGTTATCTCGGCAAATTGGAGGGGAGCTATAAAGGTATGGCGCTGATTTAATCTACGGGGGAGGGTCATCTGCTTTCTATAAGAACTTTGCCAACCGCCATCTAGGTACCTTTTTCGAGTTGACACGTTTTAGGATGGTGGCTAGACGATCTTGCTCCAGCTTCACAAGCGTTCACAAGTTTTACCAGAGTGAGATTTGTAAACCGGAACCAGGGAAGCAATTATAATACAAAATGCCCCCCCCCGTCGATAAACAGCGCCGACAGGTATCATAGTGTGTTGCGAGGTGTCATAAAATAGTAACGTTGTACTGATTTTCAGCAAAATTACTACTTTCTCAATAACGTTTTTTTTGACGCGCACTGTCAGACTTTCTATTTTATGATGCCTATTCACACCACCGATTACCTTCCTATTCTCCCATTCTCCGGTAATCTCCTATTCTCTTTCAAGCCACTTCCACCGAATACCCGTCTATGGCCGCGTTTCCGCCTATATGCCTATAGCATTGGAGCACGATTGCAACGGTAGCGCGATGCGCGTCATTGCGGTGTCGATGGCAGACCTCTGCGCTGCCTTGTCAGTTGACCCCCGTGTCTCATTGTAAGTGAATGCAAATTGGAGCAAGAACATAAGCATGTAGTGATTGTGTCGTCCGGTCCTAGGCAGATTATCACTTTAAGTCGCACATTTTCCTTCTCTTCTCAACTTCTTCTCATAATAAATTCGCAGCACACGGGGGAGGCGATCGTAACTTTTGGCACGGTTCGCATAGATTCGCCAGTCCCGTTTCTCGCTCAATAGCGATTCCATTTTTTGTTTCACGTGGGAGCTCTGAACGCGATCTACGGTAGGGGCGAAGGGGTAATTGGTGACAAGCTAAATTACTCGTTGCTCGACTGCAGCATTCAAGCCAAATTCATCGAGCACTAAAAGAAGGGACGCAGAAAGGCAGCAAACGGGCTATATTCTACCCTTGCTGCCAACTACACTAGCGCTGTCCTACGCTGTTTGAAGCTTGAGATCATGAGAACGGACAAGGCAATCACGATTCGTCGCGACGCCGTGAGCGAAGTACCGTACACAGGGCACGCCATCGCGTTGTGATCATTTCTGAAATTACGACCCCCCCACGACCCCCCCCCCCGAATTCATACTAAACATACGACCCCCCCTTTTTGGAGCTGGTACTATCGATTGCGCTCCATCCCTCTGTACTTCCATCATCGAGCCGAGCGTCGAGCGGGGGGGGAGAGGGGGGGGGGGTAGGAGTCAGAATTAAAAACTATCATTTTAAGTGTCGGGAAAATAGTGCATCCGTGATCTGATCAAAATACGACCCCCCCCCCCTTTACAGGCGTCCCGTGAAACAGAGAAATGCACTATATTAAGTTTTTCTCTGACGCGCAATACGACCCCCCCTTGTGATGATCACAACGATGGCGTACCCTGAACCGTACGGCTGTCGGCGCGTCTACATTCTCAGTTGCATCAAAAATTTTTCGATTGGAGAAAGTGAGCTTGCCAAATTGATGGACAGTCGAGAGCACCACATTTTCGGGCAAATACCCATTTTCATACCGCCCCCCCCCCTTATCTTCTACTCATAAAATGCCGCAGGCAGGACACTTCTGGTCCGTCGCGCACGGCTTCGCGCGCCACGCCCACCAACGCGGTATATTACGAATGCACTATCACATGGTCCGAGACCACCTATTGTTGCGTACACATAGAGATGAATAGCGATTAGGCCCTTCTTTGTGGCCTCAGAGAAATGTCTCTTCATCATAATCTGCTGAAAGAACTACTGCGTAAAAAGAAGTTACTGAGTTTGTCACCACAATTAAGCCTTTCGAGTCTCAAAAGATGAAGCCTTCGAGTCTGACTACAGTGGAGATTTCAAGGAAAACTGAAGCCCGTAAACAAATTGATCCGTAATTCAAATGTTCCCGTTCAGAAGCGAGACTCTACTCTTATCTTAACCACAAGCGGTTTAACTTTTTTAGAATCGCTGTAAAAACTTTATGGAGTGAGTCCTTGTAGATGACAGAACGACCAGTTCAGCAGAAAAAGAAGGCAGAAACAGATGTACTTACCGCAAAAGTCGCAGTTTAACACGCGATCCTTGAGATATTCGATGGAAGGCTTTGCATCCGCCATAGTTACCGTTGGCGGTCAGTCAATCACCAGTAGTGGGTTAGCGCAAGTGAAGAATGATTCCTACCAATTCCGATAGTTGTGTTTACGAGATTTATCCATTGAAGTCTGATAAAGTTTTTCCTCCTATCCTACTGTAACAGTCCCAATCAAGCATGTAGGCAATGCGGCTGTAGGTAGTTAAAGGCAAAACCCGCGATCATTCGCCATCACAGGTAGATTAGGGGTGGATTAGGGGTTCGCATATAGACGACAGGGTTCTCTGTGACTCGACAGTGAGGAAAAAGCAAAAAAACACGCCAACGGTCCTAAATAGAGCCCCCTTACAACTCAGTTCGTGTTCGAGCCCAGTTAACTCCATCTCCAACACTGTGCCCTCATCCGCACAGCTGATTCCCCGATAAGAACTCTACGACCGTACAAGTGACGATTTTCATGCTTTTTCGTCCTGCAGCTTCATTTTTCACTGAAAGGCGGGCCTTGAAGGCGGAGTCTGGAGGCGGAGTCACTGGAAAAAAGGAGGCGTCACTGAAGAAGCGCTATAGCGCCCCTCCCTTACAATTTTTGCCGCGAAACCGGTTCAACGTTGCATGCCGGACTACATTACGCTCCTCACGCCCTATTTTCAACTTCTATACCTGATCGCGGACCGAGCCTTTGAATGGTAAAATGGAAAATCATAAATCTACGCGCTCACAGCGCTCCATGGATTTGTGGTGTGTATGGGGATCATATAACGGGATCGATACATGGGGGATTAGAGGAGTGTAATTATGTGATTGTGAGCCCCGTTTCGCTTCTCTGACTGCATAAAATGAGGTCACTTGGACCACTGCACTCCCAGTGGCAGAAGAACCACACCTATTGATGGCTCCCCTCACATGATCAGAGTGATAACCGTTTCATTGAATTTTGCTCTGCACACTCTCACTGATTGAAGATTGAATCTCTTTGAAGATTGAATCTCTCGCTCAAATTAGCAAGCATTTAGCCAGAGTTGTATGGCGCCAGCAAGGCTATGAGGACACCCTCAAAAGTATCCAAGACAAGCCTAATACGAGGATAGAGTTGAAGCTTTCACCTTTGATTAGACCCTTTCTGGGATGTGGTCAACGCATGCCCTTCTGTTCAGAATCTTAGCGACTCGTTGCATGCGATATGGCCTATGCAATGACTTGCAGGACCAGCCGATGTACAAAACAGGGTTTTCATCCTTCCAAACGAATCTGGTACCAATTGCCGGTTTCTGGAAGTAGACGGCGGAAGCGGGTCCGGGATCTGATCCTGGATCGTGTGCGTGGTAAACGGCAACGTATACAGTTCGTTACCTCCGTCCCTACCTTCAGGCACACAACAAGCGAATCAACCTGCAAACAAATTTACAAGCGAAGTGGGCTCATCTTGAGGTGGTCAAAGTGGCATATCCTGATCGCGAAGCCTAATCGGAACGTAAAATGAGCTCTAGCATCACTTTATTGGATCTTCGAACGAGGCCCGAGGAGTAAGAAGAAGTAGGAAGAAAGTGGTACGAAGCATTGCCAAGCATAAACTTCTACGATTCTAAGTATAGCTCAACTAGGAGTTGTTGTGTGTGCACCACAGGATATCTCTGGACCTTGCAGCTTCGTTAAAGGCACGGTCCACGATCAGGCACAGAAGTTGAAACTGTGGCGTCGGGAGGGTAGTATGGTTCGCAACGAACAACCTTGTACCGGTTTTGCGGTGAAAATTGTTAAGGGAGGGGCCTATAGCGCAATATAGATTCAAGGACGCCTCTTTTCCAGTTACTCCGCGCCCAGTCTCCGCCTTCGAGGCCGCATTTCAGTGAAAAATGAAGCTGCGATGAGAAATCATGAAAATCGTCACTTGTACGATCGTAGAGTTTTTATCGGGGAATCAGCTGTGCGGATGAGGGCGTGGTGTTGAAGATGGAGTTGATTGGGCACATCCAACTGGGATCGGAATGGGGTTTTATATGGGGCAGTTCGCATGTTTTCTGCTTTTTTGTTCACCATCGAGTTACTTAGCACCTTGTTGTCTATATGGAAACTCCTAACCCACTATCTGTGATGGCGAATGATCCAGTTATTTGCCTTCAAAATTTCCCTCACAACATTCGCGAAACAAACCTGCAAATCCAGGGTTCCTCCAAGAACATATTTCATGAACTCTTCGAAGCACTTCTGCGGTCATTCAAAGACGCGATAACTGTCGTTTTATCTCCCATAAGACCTTTTTATGTGTCGTACGGTATTGTTTGTTCATGTCGTTTATCTACGAATTCGCGGTGTTTTTCATATGTCAAGTGATTGATTGAAAAAGTTAGTGCTTACCCAGAACCGGTGGTCCTGCTTTCTTAACATATCTTGTGCAAAGTTGGTGTTGCCCTCCAAGCAAGGCCAGGGAGCGTAAACGTCTACATCAGTTTGGCAGAAAAGGTAAGCTTATCATCCATTGCACAGGAAGAACCACAGGGGAAGTGCAGAAAAGACACTTTGCCCGAGGCACATATCAGTAAAGAATACGCAGTCCAGAGAGGAGACGTGGATACGAGTACCAGGGCGAAAGATACCCAAGATGTTCCTCGATAAGCAGAAGCAGGCTCTCGTCCATCACCTTCATGTACACCAAAATATGAAGCCATCTCCAATCGCAGCCGAACTGAAGAAGGCCTATGGAATTCACGTCACCTCCAAACAGCTGCGAAACTTCTTGTATGGAGTCACCCATGGACAGCTACCTGGGACCAGCACTCTTGATCTGGAAGACCTCCAACATCGAGCAGCTCCGACAACGTCGCTACGGTCCAGGATCATCTTCTCTGCAGTCGCCAAGGCGCGGGTTGATGGTATGGACCGGAAGTTCCTGGAATGGGAAGACCGATATTTTCTTCGTGGACCCCGGACTGAAAGTGAACGCTGACTGTTACATCGAACACTCGAGGAGAATATCCTGCCTTCATGTCGTCGCCTGTACCATCTTGGAAACTTTGTACTGCTACAGGATTGGGTGCCAGCACATGGAATCGAAAAACTCTCGCCTACTTGGAATCGAAGGGCGTTGAGTACCTGAAGAAGACGGAATATCCAAGTGTGTCACCTGACCTAAACCCTCTCAATTAGAGGGTTCGGAAGGGGCTCAACAAGGTGGTCTACAGTGGCGGAGAACCTCGCTGAACTCAGGCACCGATTCACGGTCGCGTGGCAGAATCTCTCGATGGCGCTCGTCCAGAAGGCTGTGGCGGAGTATCGTGATAGTGTACAATGTGTTGTTGAATATGGT